AACTCAGGGAGGCAGTGAAGGACAGGAAGGCCTGGCGCGATATGGTTCATGGGGTCACGAACAGTCGGACACGACTTAACGACTGAACAATATATAATGCCCCAACAGCATGTCTGTGACATGAATCTGGAATAGCCATGCTGTGCTGAGGGCCATACAGGTCCTCTGTGCAATCTTTGTAAGGGCAGTGAATGGTGGTTTTCTTGGCTAAAACTCAGACATCACCAATTGATAGAAAAGCTGTTCTCAACTGTAGTAGGGAATGTGTGAGGCATGCTTGTAAAATTCAGGTGCCTCTGTCCAATCCATTTTTCTGCCAGTTGCTTTTTCTGGACTGTCAACCTAATGACCAGTAAACAGAAGCAAGGATTTTGTCTCTCTTAAATACAACATAACAGTTACTTGGTTTTCTGTAGCTGAAGTGCAATTGCTGCATAAGTGTTCTTGGAGCTATGTTGTAGTTCAAAAAGAGGGTGATGGTGGTATGTGTGGAAGGTGTACAGCTGTGGTGTGCTTTCAGATACATCCATATTTGTCCAGAATAATAATTGGCTGGATGACTACTAGGTAGCAACAAAGATACACATAAAACCTCATTATGGGAGACCTTCCAAAGATAATCTTAGGGTACATTTTAGCAACATATGGAAAGAGACATTCTTTCTAAAATTGTGGTCCCAAGCCTTGAACAGCTTATAGATAAATAGCACCTCAAACATGCTGCTATCATAATCCAAAAACAAATGGGACTAGTGAACATTAAAAAGCTGGCATTGAAGTGCTATTCATTCCTGAAAGTAACAGTTTTTATCCATGTGTACAAAGTGTTTTCCAGCAAGAACTTTAAGAAAATTGCAGTTCAGTTCAACTGTGACAACGAAATTATCAGTTCTGAATCTACTATGAGAAGGTAGTTACTGTAAGCTTTAAATTAAATCAGGGCTCAGCATTGGCTGGATTTGTATATTGTACATTATAGTAGACCAATGACTGGATTTATATGTTATGTTAAACTATTATATGAATTGATTTTTTTTTCTTACTGCATTGGATGAATTTGGCTATTGTGACTTATAAATGATACCTTGACATGTGTTAACTGAGTCAGTTGCAATATAAATCATGTTTATACTGAAGCATGGTTTAGTGTGATGTGTAACTCTTGCCAACAGTTATAATGGTTAAAAAAATTGCTATTCTAGTAAAGCAGCTCCGTTGAATCAATTAACAAGTAAATGTAACCTTCAGAGTAATTTAATATATGCAATATACACACATACACAAGGCAAATTTGCAATAGTGGAGAACATTTGTAGCTACACATCAGGGTTGAAATGTTGGGATAATGGTGGTAGGACTCTGGAGATTGATTCATGTAGTTTTCTTGGCACTAACAGGGAAGTATTAGATTTCCCCTGCAGATTCCTCTATTCAGAGCCAATCCTGGCTGGCCAATCTTGTTTCACTTTCAAGATAGCTATGTGCTACCACACACATAGCAATCAACTGATCTTCTGCAGCTTTAAATGATTCTACCTGCATTTTGTGCTTTACTTTTTAATAGCAGATCCGTTGCATGTTATACCTTGCTTTCTAGTGGAATTGGTTCTGAAAATATTTTCTTTACAAAAGCGCTTATCATTCTGTTATTCTGTAAGATAAAAATTACCAATACACAATGATTTGAGTTAAATACACAATGTTTCGAGTTAATTATACAATACTACTTATACAGTATTATACAGTAATATTGTTCTGGCTTACATACAAATTCGACTTAAGGAAAGACTTTGGGAAAGGAACTCATTCTTAAACTGGGGACTACCTGTACTGTACAGGTACATACCTATAAGAATCTTGCAGTGTGATGAAACATACTGCAATTTATAAAGAAAAACTAAGTAACTTATCATTGTTCTTGAATGAGACACACTTAAGCTTGTGGTTTCTCCACATATTATAGTGGCAACTGAAACTTAATTTGGATCTATTCCCTACTATTTAGGTTTTATTCTGTCATGATTTAAGATATTATCTGATTTTTAAAATAGATATTTCATATTTCGGATCAAAGCATTCAAAACTATACAATAAGCAAGGTTTATAAATTCTTTATCACTCTCTTCTACTGTGTAAGTTTAGCCTGGGTATTAACAATCTATAATTGATAAAAGAGTTGAATGATTCATTACAGATGAATGTTTGCTGTAATAGTTTCTTAGACTGCACTAATTTTGTGGATAACAGATAAAATTGTTTGCATTGTTTTTAGTGTATGAAGAACTTGAATGGCTATAACAGATCATCCTAGTCTCTAGGAATATTAGTCCCATCAGTGGTAATCCAATTAAGAAAAATCACAATTGTAAAGAGTTGAAACCAATGGCAATAAAAGTGCTTTAAGTAACCATTATTTGTGGTTTAAGAAGTAAATTTAAATGTTTATTATAAATATATTACATACAACTTCTAGCAATCTGCATTGCTACTTAGAATTCATTTGACATATTTGTCAATTTGTGCATGTCACTATGAAGGATTCCATCTGTTTACTTACATAGGAAACATTTTGCAACACTGCTATAGATTTATGCAAGTTGAAAACACTCCTCTGTCCCACTGGGGCAATACTTACATAAGAATACGTAACTACATAATACAAATATCTGTTGAACTGACCACCTTTGCAATGACAGGTGACTTAACTTCAGCTAGTACTGAAGTATTTCTCCCAACCTGGGTGTTTTTATCTCCCCCTGCCCCTGCTCTGGGTGTTCAATACAATCATGAGGAGCATGTAACATTTAGATCTTACTTTAGAAAAACAGCACATCATCAGACAGGATCTTATACTGGCAGGAACTATGTATGTGATCACTTCCCATAGTTCATACTGACTTAAATATTAAAATATGCTTTCTAATTAGCCATTGTAATTTAGCAAGCTTCTACCCTCCAGAACAAGTCAATAGCAGCTGATACACAGTGCATCCAAGCTGCTGTGTAAAACTTTTTCTTATCAAGCCTGGAAATAGAAAAAGCTTTGAGAAATGTATAATGTTATGGTTGTGTACAAGACAGGAAAAGCAAGCATGTTTCTACTGTCCTCCACTAGCCCTAGACAATATTCATGGTTCTCTCCTTCCTTACAACCAACTTCATTTTATTCTCACAAAAATATTTTTGAGTTTTGGTCCAAATTAGTTTGAGAGTAGTTTGAAAACTTCACTAAAATGGACTAAATTTTCCAAGCAGTTATTTTAGAGAGAAATTAGTATGTCTTATTACTGTAATAGGGTAAAGAAGACATTTCTCAAACAAAGAATTATTGATACTAGGTAAAGGGGGGGGAGTGGGGGAAGTTAGGGATGACTGAGCTAAACAATAGGTACTGATCAAAATTAGCCAATGTGATTTAAGTTTATATATTAATTTTCTGTTCTGAGGGAACGGTCACAGGGGAATAAAACCAGGTAGTATCAAGGCTTTGTTAAAAAAAAATCACTGAAGTTCATATTTATCAATACCAGGGTTGAGTAGAGAGTAGAATTAATTCCACAGGTGAAATATTAACCAATTATTGGTGGGTTTAGATAAGAATCCTGGAATTCTTATATAATAGTAGACAGATAGTACCAATAAGGCTTTGCAAGGTAGTTCTGTTCTTGGGTATGAGTGTGTATTCAGATTAGTTATGCCTTAATCAATAGGAAATCTCAATTGTTAACATATTTTTCCTTGTTAAGTTTAACACAATGTAGGATAAGAATACCAGTTTTTAAAAGGTGGGGGGAGGGAAATCATATGAAACTGCTAACACCAGGGTCCTCAAACTTTTTAAACAGGGGGCCAGTTCACGGTCCCTCAGAATGTTGGGGGGCCGTACTATAGTTTGAAAAAAACATGAGGGTCCCTTCTGCTGAGTATGAGGAGAGGAGGAGAGCCGCTGGACCCGGCATACCTGTCATGTAGAATAGTCCGGCTCTGCAATCTCCCTCCTCATGCATCGCCTGCAGCTCCCGACACAGCACCGACACTTCCACTTCTGACAGACAGCAGTGGTGGCCAATCAGGCGGGCGGGCTGGATAAATGACCCTGGTGGGCCTAAAGTATTACTTTAGGATTTCTTCACTCTCTTAAGGATTTTTTGTTAGCATCTATTACTGTTATGGTAACTAGTTTCCCTACAATGGAAGTGTCACAGACTGCAACTTTTTCATGACATTGATATCTAACTTCACTTTACCTGTCCCTGTGAATATCCTTGTAAGGATAGCACTTCATGCAAATGAAGAGGACTCCATCCCATAAAAACATGTGTGATTACAGGTTAGTTATTCTTCAGTATGTCACAAAACCTTTTGTAGTTTATCTTCCTTTATTTATTCTTTAACTTAATACTTGAGCAACTCCTTCTTATATATTTTTATAAGTGCCATGCTCATAAGTAGACAGTTTTTTCTCAATATATACACGTTTTGTGTACTGTCATGTTTTCTTTATATTAATATCCCACCATAGACATTTTTATATTGCATTCTAACTTAATTCTCCAGTCTAATGTCCAGTTAGTACTCATATAGAAAGGTGACACATTTCTTTCCCTATAAAGGTCCCTGATCCATCAAAAAGTCAACTAAATCATAGCTAACAGTGGGAAGAATAAAGCATTATGCAGACCTATCATATCCTAAACCAGAGGGTTTAGTATAAATCATAAATTTAGACCTGTTGTAGTACCATATACTGAATTAATATATAGTAGCATATACATATTCAAAGTTTACTACAGGCTTAAATAGTACCTGAAAAGATTACTATAATTACTGCTTATACAAAACTGATTGCATAAACAGCAGAAATGTAAGCCTAAATAATGTAAACACATCCTTAATGCTTTATGTAATGGGTTCTCATCATAAACTATCCTCTTTTTGTTATGTATGGTATGTTCCAAAGCAATTGGTTTATAATCCCCTGGTCAGCATGATGAGCTGACTGAAAAATAGTGGGAAAGTCAGGAATATCAATTCCAAATAATTCACAGTTATACAAAATACTACTGTTGAAATGTTGCTTTTATGTTACTCTCCTCTTTAACAAATTGGGCCAGATGGGAAGGCACTGTCTATCATACCACACCAATATGAATAGGATATACTGAAAAATATGCTAGAATCAGAAGAACATACAAAATAAATCTTCTTTAGGCCAGAATAATGTCTCTGTGTTTTCCGAAGAACAAGTCCTTTTTTTGGGGGGGGGGGAGGAGGCTAAGCAGAAAATAGATTCCTTCTTTAGAATCCAGTTTGTTAAGTTTAAAACTTAATAACTTAGCTAATCAACCTATACGTTCACTATTGAAGTTAAAAGAACAGAAATCTGAATTACTTACAAGATTTTTTCAAAAGCATAGGTACATTTTCATTTATAAGATAATTTTTCAGCCAAGAAATGGAGAAAGCAATGAAGAATTCTCAATCTCCACATAATTACTTTGACAAAAAACTTAACTGCTACTCAGAAAGTGTATGTTTTAAGATTTTTTAGATTTATCTGTACTGATAATATTAAGCTTAAATGTTAGTAGCTTGTTATATTTATTTGTTAAAAACGTATCAAATGTTATTCTGCAAATACTTGGGACAATTGCTAAAAAACTATTACTACTGTGAACTTTTTCTAGGCACAAACTCTAAAACAAGAGTATTATTTTGCCAAGTAAAACAGGAGAAATATTTCAGATAAGGAATGCTGTGTAAGTAATATTAATTTATGACAATATTCTGGGTGTATTTTCTACTTTTAATTCCAAGGAAGGCATTTTGTAAAAACAGGCAAAGGCAGCATTCTGAATGAACCCAAACCAGTTAGGTCACAGGTAATTAAGAGAAATGAAAGTATGGTTACAGTCTTCCAATTCCATACTATTACAATTTCAAGAATGTCTCAGCATCAACACAAAATATGATACAGGATTGTGTGAACACGGGGACCATGAGTTTTATTTTGAATCATGTTACTAGTTTGATGACAAAGAATGCTGCTGGTGTGAGTTCCTTTTAAGCTTTAGATGTTGGTCAACAAAGTTCTTACAGGTTTTCATGGTACATCAACAAGATGAACTAGTTTGCCAACTAACCTCTATTTTAATATTTAAATTAGAACAGTACAACAATTAGAAAAAGGTCAGTGCTTCTGGTGGCAATGTTCAAGCCACATCAAACTGAGTATCTTCTAAAATAAAGATGCAAAAATCTACACTTCAGCATCGAAAGTGCAATACAGTGGCCTTTCCTGAATAAAGGAGTAGCGGCTTACCCACGATAAAAGCTTTAAATAAGGTAGATTGTTGTCATTTATATATCAATTCTGCCTCTTTGATATAAAATATATCATAAAAGCTTAAACTGATTACAATCTACATTCAACTAAAGCTTCACAATAAGCTGCATCAATGGAATTAACAATGGGAATGCACTCAATAGAAGAACACTTGCAAACCTATTGAAAAGAACAAAGGACAGAAAGTTTTCTAAATAACTGAACATACGTGGTGTGTTAGACAAAAGAAAAATGGACCCTCTGATTACTTGCACTGTTTTTAATGAACTCAGAGAAATGTAAAACTTAGTCCACATCCATTTCTTCAGATGATTTAGGCTGCTGGCAACTCTCCTCTGATTTAGCATCAGCACTGCTTTGTCCATTCATTGGCCCATTGTGTTCACTATTAGATTTTCCTTGATCTTCAGACAGTGGTTCCGCCTTTGGCTTAGGTTTGTAAATAATTGGATTACATAAACTGTCCAGTTCCTATTAGGAAAAAATAATTACTGTAACTACCATGGAAACAACACAATGGCCTATGAAATTGTTTGCAATGTAAAATACAGGAGATAAGCTTAGTAATAAATAAATGATAAAATCTGCCCATAATCAGAAGTATAATCTTATTGCTTTTTCTCTCAGCAGCAAAAGCACATATATGAGGATGAAAAATGTTACCTCTAATAAATTAACAATAGAAACATCTTCCAGTCATGGAATTAAAAACTCATGATTCAAACCATATTCTCATTCTGACTTAAATGTGTTTGCATGCTATCACCTGAATATAACATTGAGAGCCAGTTTGGAGTAGGGGTTAAGGTACTGGCCTACAAACCAGGAGACTGAGTTCTAGGCCTCTCTTAGACATGAAAGCTGGCTGGGTGACTTTGGGCCAGTCTCTCTCAGCCCAACCCACTCACAGGGTTGTTGTTGTGGGGAAAATAGGCAGGAGGATTAAGTATGTTCACCTATATAAAAAAAGGTGGGATATCATCATCATCATCTAGAACCCTGTTCACACATAAACATGAGCTATGCCTTATCTATTTTTATGGAAACTGAAGAAATATCTATTTGCTGAAATTCTCTTAACTTTTGCAGAAATATATTTTGTTTTCTGATATCATTTGCAATACTAAGCTCATCACTTTCTTGTGAGATGGGTGGTATCTAAATTTGAAATATAAATAAATAAATAAAAATATTCCTAGGCCAATTCAAGTTTATTTTTCCATTAACTTAATTCAATTCTAAAGTTAATTTACCTTAGATTTCGCTATTATTTCTGCCACTTTAATAATAGGATCCTGTGTCAAACTCAGTCTATGCTGTACATGCATCTTCGAGCTCAACCAGCGCATAGCTTCACTGGCATATTTCTCAACCTTTTCCATATCAACAGGATCAATGTGATTGTATTTTTCATCCTACAGAGAAAATATTAAGTTCAACATTCAGCAAGTAACAAACACATAGGCTTATCCCATAATGGATTATAGAATAGTTGATTTCATAATGATTTGTTACTTAAAAACATTTTGATAGAGCCAGATAATTATACATTTAAAAGAATGTGAAATTTTGAAAATACAGCTTTATTTATTGTTTGGCTACAGAAATTCCTGTTCAAGTGGTATGGAGCTGGAATGCTGGCATTACAAGTGCATCAAAGAGCATCTGGACTTACTGTAAGTGCCATTCTGTCCCCTAGAAGAGGAGCCTGACAGTAAAGGATAAACTCTACCTCTTCCAATCAGAAGGCAGGGATAAGACTTCTGCATCTTATAGAGGCAACCCCTTCCAACTCAGTTACCTACTGACTTCAGCTGGAAGAACCAGTTTAATACGTATATACATCAACCAGTAACTTTGAAGCACAATGAAGAAAACATACTCAGAAATGACAAATTCATATCCCATTCATATTAAGTAAATTCTTCACTCTCTAGGAATCTCCAGGGATGGAATCTATCAGGTCAATCTTCTGATGACCAGAATGGCACCTCACATTCTGGACAGGAAAGGAATATATTAAAGCAAATGTCCTGGATGCATCAGCGTAATACTTCTGTGCCTCCATATGTGCAAAAGCAAAATTTATCAATTCTGCACAATGAAGACACCTCAAACCGAGTTGCTACTTGGAAGATTTCTTCTAAAACTTATGCCAGTGCTGTGGAAGTTGCTATTCCTCTTACAAAATGGGCCATGATACAGTACTTTCCTGTACACTGCTGGCAGAATATGCCAAAACAATGCATTCTCTGATCCATTTATTAATAGAAGACCTAAAGGCTTGCTTCCTAACACTTCCAAACTTATGTGAGAAAAAGGTAAGATTAAAAAACTACAGAAACATAAAAGGAAAAGTAGAAAAAAGGAGGTAAAAGAAAAAGTGAACAATAACAAAAGAGAACGAGAGAAAGATATCTAAGGAAGCGACTTCCGAACTTTGCAGCAGTTACAAACCTAGTGATTACCATCTCCACCCTTCCAAATTACATCAGCAATTCATTTTTATTCATTTTCAGCAAAAAGTCCATAAAGGGTTTCCAGTCTCTTATAAAAGTAATTGTTCCCTCCTTAAACAAGTGAATTTAGTCATTTCTGCAAGCTCTGCTGTCTTCATGATCCATTCCTCCATTATTGGTATTTCTGTATTCTTCCATCTTTGTGCATAGAATAGCCTTGCTGCAGTTACCATAAAAAAGTTCTCTTTTAAATTCTAAGACAATGTGAATTTCAAACCTTTTAATCACTTTAATTTAAATTTAATTTAATCTCATTGCTCCATTTGAATATAGTAACCAAAGTTCTTAGCCCACTTTATCATACATTCTTTAACTTGCTCTTTTTCAGTTTCAAATTTTAACAAAAGTTTATACATCTTTGCAATCACATGTTCATTTGTACATAATTCATTTTGAAATTCCACTTTATGATGTTCTATTTCTGGCGCTTTTTTATCTATATTGAATCTTTCTTAGTTGTGCATATGAAAACTACTGAAAACTAAATCCCTCTGGAGTTAATTGTTCTCTTGATTTCATCTTAAGTTCTCCATTTTCCTGTACTAATGTCAATAGATGCACTCTAGAGGAGTACAGAGATGACCTTGAATTCTTCTTCATTGAAGAAGAAATTCAATGACCATTATGTAAACATTAGTTTAGCGTGGATATATAGGAGGGAATGAGGACAACCTCAAAATTGTCCACCCTGATTCTTTTAGAGCAGAGCAGAGAGACACAGTCTGTCAGCCTTTCAAGATTCTGTTGTTATACTCTATAACAGTAAAGTAGAATTCCAGTAATTCATGAGATGTTTGTTTCCTGATGTAGTCTACCTCGAAGGGCTGACACTCACCACACATGCCTATAAAAGGCTTGAGTGTTAGACTGGCCCTGGACTGGTAATTGGCCAACTACTGCCTGAGCCATGGCCCTTGATGAGCAGCTACCCCTGCTGCCATAGAGAAAACTGCAAACTGTAGAGTGCCCAAGGTAATAATATCAACAACTCTGCTACCTTGAAACATATACTAAAGATTTCCTTTAGCTTCCTGACATCTAAAGGCATATCTTGCAAGCCTAGTATATCAGAGCTCTTGATCCAACAGATATCTACACCAAGGCTCTAACTTTCAGGAATAAAGCTTTATTAACTATTTTCAATGCCCTGTCTGCCATATGTTCTGAATGGCCTGTAAAAAAATGCCACAGTTCATCGATCTATGCAAATCCAAACCAATCCATGATCTCATAGCAGTGGGTACAGTTTGTTAGCTATGAAAGGAGATGATAAAATAAGCATGTAAGTTAAAATACAGTGATACATTCCACCACTGGGAAAGGCCTTGAACGAAGAAAATCAAGTTTAACTTTTGTCAAAGCAACAGTTGCTTTTAAATACTCTGTGAACCTGATAAGCTCAAAGACTGTACATGCTTTAAAGATTTTATCCATGTTGTAAAAGTGCTAATTTATTTATGCTTCAAAATAAGGAAAATCTACATGCCTGACAATTTGGACACTCAAATCCATACTTCTCAAATCTTTCTAATATGTATGCCCAATGATATTTCTATCTTGTGCCAAGACATGGCCTGCATTTCAAAGTCTTTAGATAAGCTAGTCACATGAGCAGCTGTAAGGCTAATCTGAGTGCACCTGGAGTTACAAGAAATGTTCACAATTTCTTCATATGGTTCTGTCAGAATTATGTTCATGTATATCAGAATCTTTTTGATGTTAGCTTCAAAACTATGAACTACTTGATCTTGAACTCTACAGTTCATAGTGAGCCATGTGGTTTCTATTCTAAATGTAGATAGCAACAATATTAGACTCACATACATATCAATTCAGGGAATTTAACACAAAAATAATGAAAAGGCAACATCAATATCTTTAAAAACAGCAGCTCCTAATTTTATTTGATTCAACAGATGCATTTTTCTAACAGAACACAGCAAGTACATACATCTTTGAACAGTCCATCTGAAGCACTTAGTGTTGGGCCTCATCCCTTATATCTCCCAAAGGAGTCAGAGAGAGATTACATTCTGTTAGCAGAAATACATGTTTAGCATGCTCAAATAGATACTGTAGATAGACAGAAAGACAGAGATATCCACAAACCTTTTTTTGGAAAATGGAATCAACCAGGCAAAGGAGAACAAAATGAGTAAAAGGAAAAATATTAGTCTCCTTTACAGCCTACTAAGGAGAAAGAACACATTCTGCTGCTTTAGAGCCTACACAGAAAGAACACATTCTGCTGCTTTGTTGCTATTTTCCTTTTTAGTTCTCAGATCTCAATTCTTTGTCAAATGTATGCTGACCACTGCCTCTGGGCCCAGATGAAACTGAGGAAAAAAGGAAAGCCCTTCTTCTTTACTAGAAGGCACATCTAAGACTGAGTTGGGAATGGCTACCTCCACAGGTTACTTAAGCCTGATTTCTGACTAGACAAGGTTGAATTTATCCTTTCCTGTCAGCTCCATCTTCAGTGGCTGGGAGGAAAAAAAAACCCTTCACCAACACTGCTCCAATGTAAGCAGCTGAATTGGCTTCCAGGTAGGCCCTGGCTCACATAAAAACCAGTATATACATTATCATATACATACAGTCTTTTCTCCTACAGACAATCATATTGACTTTGCAACCATTTACAACCATTTACAGGGTTATTTAGGGAATATCTTAAATTATTCCAGTTTGAATAATCACTGAATTGAAAGTAGAGTGGCAGGAATATATCACTGTTTATTATATAAGAGGCTCTCTATAAAAATGATGCAATCTGAAATGCTTTATTCAAGACTTCAGATCTTCTTCCATGTCCCACCTTACCAAGTCTTCCTTTTTCCTGCCTTCAACCAGTCAACATTTTAGATCTGCTGAATGTGCTCAATCCTCATTGAATTTTTAAAGAGAAACCTATTTCTGTATTTTGAGCAGGGTGGATATACTTATGGTCCTTTTCCAGTGACATTAAAATCCTGCATGACTCTACTTCTCATTGGCAACTCATGCTCCCACTTTGAGATTATTTGGAAATAGCTTCTTAAAAAGATGTGACCTATCTACTTCATTGATATGATTAATGTTCCTTTCAATATAGCTGTCTGTTTCTCCATTCTCTTATTGTAGCACATATACACTACAACAATTTGTACGCAACTAATTATTCCAAAGACCTCATTGGACTGTTTTTGGAGGTTTGTCCCCCACACCCCCAACAAACAAAGAAAAAACCCAGTGCAATTGGAGCCTGAATTTGGTATTACATCTCTTTACCTGCAAGTCATGTTGTTTTGGCTACATTTGCATAAGCATGGAAAAACATAAGCTGGAAATAGAGTTATGTTAATAAAGATGAAACAAACAAAAAGGAAAACATTAACATTTTTGCACTGCAAAATCAGAATGGATGTTGGACTTTATTTATCCAATTTATCTTATATATTTAATCTTGAAAATTAGGTTTCAATTTTATATACATTTATCTGAAAATAAGTCCCATGTAAGGTAAATTATTTCTGAACAGATATATAAAAAATTGCTGTTAGAAACACACACTAAGTCCTACCTTATTTTCATATCCTTCTAGAGCTTTCATAAACAGCTGGAGTTTGTTTTCCAAATCAAGTAAAGCTTTTGGTCTTTCTTCATGTTCCTTATATCTATCATGAATAGGGCCACCAAATTTCTAGAAACATTAAAAAAAAAATAGAAATATTGTAGAAGTGCTCATTAAAATGTAGAAAAAATTTAGATGAAGATAAAATGTTTTTTAGTAATTGAGAACTACTTATAAATGACTAGTTACAGTATGAAGGAAATCAGGAAAGTGGATCACATATGACAGTCAATAAGCCTGTATCTCAATTTTGTTGAGAATACTAGAGTTGCCATTGGCAGGTACTCTAATTCCTTGCTTAATGCAGGAAATCCAACACATCTCCCTCATACACCCCACTATCAACTATAGTTTGGAAGAGCTGCCACCCAATCCTCTGGTAGAAGAGCAGGATACAAATGAAACAAACACAAAAAAAGATCTAAAAAGAAAAGTATCTGGAACTTAGCAAGAAATCTGAAGCTCAAGCAGACTGTAGGGTGGGATGATGATAGAAGCTGCCTGGTAAGTAAAGAGAAAATACTGTATAATGTATAGGAAGAAAAGAGTGTTTCAAACAGAGCAAAGAATAGTTAAGAGGAGGAGAAAATGCATAGAGTTTTGATGGAAATACAGGTCACGTATCTTCAGTTTAAGCATGTTCTAATCGATCAATATGGACCAATACGGCTGGTACCTGAGTTGCTTTCTTATTTGATGGAATCCATGACAGAATAAAACCTATAACATATCTCTATCAAAAGCTCAGGAATATTATTTAAAGTGGACATTTCTGGGATATTTCAAACATGAACTAAAGAACTGGAATTTCTGATAAAGCCACATCAATGGCTTCATGTTCTTAAAATGGTGAAATTGTATCTATGGATTTGAGATTAAAGTTGATTCACCAAAAAATGCATTTAGGGTATATTGGACTCTTCAAAAAAAGTATCTGAAAGGATGGACATCAGATTTTTTGTGCTGGAGGTGTAAAAAAAATTGAAGGCTCACTGATCCATATGACATAGGCATGTGATCATTTGATATCTTTTGGGGATACTATATTAATATATATCAATAGATTTATGGGAAAATCTTCAAATGTTAAAGATGTTAATGTAATCTTGAATTACAGTATATACCAAAGCTTTGAAATTTGACAGTTTATCAGGAATTATTGTATTGAGCATAGGGGGTGGCAAAAAAAATTATATGAAAAAACTGGAAAAGTAATATTATTCCAGATGTCAAGGAATGGTGGTCGGAATGTGTGAACTACCTGTTTTGTAAAATATATTTTCTATTAACCAAAGAATGCAGCAATATGTGTTAATATGGCAGAGATTCTGTGATATTTTACAATATCTTGTATTATTTATAGTAGTGAATTCATTGTTAAACCAGTGACTATTGATAGGTATAAAATAGAAGGAAAAGAAATAAAAGAAAAAAATCTTATGAGTTTGTATTTTTAGTTCATACTTTTTTAAAAATATTTTTTCCTTAATATTAAAGATTGTTTTGTTACAAAATAATAAAGATATTAAATTTAAAAATACATTTTATAATGGAAAAAAAAAGAAATACAGGCCATGAGAATATTGAAAACATTAAGACTACAGTGTAGATGATGTAACTGGAGAAATGTTGACATAGCAATGTGCTAGGCTTATGGAGTGGCTGTATGACTGGTTTAAACTTGTGTGAAGAACCCAATGATTGGAAGAACTGAAACTGTTGCCTATACAAGTGGAAAGGCAGCAAAACTATGGGTTTGTTCTGAGAAATGTATAATTGTTAGAAGAAACAAAAATGATTGTATGTAAGAGCATGTTTCTGCCCACTTAGTTATATGGAAATATGAAAATAATTAACTTAAAATGTTTGTGCTATAATAGAGATAGGGGGACAATAATTAATGTGGACTGAATACAAAAGTGAATGACCAGTACTGAAGAAATATATTTAGGTGGTTTGGTCATATAGAGAAAATGAATGAAAACCAAACTGCAAACAAATATATAAAGGAAGAGTGAATGGGATAAAAAGGGGGAAGATTGAGAAAGTTGTTGTTGGATAGAATTGGTGAGAGTCTCCAAAATAGAAGTGAAAAGTTTAAAAACTCAAAACAAATGTATAAAGCAGTGATAGACATGGTAGAAACAAGGTATAGAGAAAGGTACTGGAAAGCAAAGCAAACGGTGTTGGTGTAAACTCATTTTAGCCAGGGAAATCCACTGGAAGTTCTGGTAGCAATTCTCAAGATAGCCTGAAGCCAGATAACTTGTTGCTAGTCCATTTAATTTATTTGAATAATATTTATTTACAAATCTTGCAGTCTCTGATACTATTTCAGTAACTTAAAAGTATTAGATTTCGAGAGATAGAAGTTTATAGTTAAAGACACCTCAGAGAACAAATTCAAGCACTTTATTTCTAGCAATAGAGACCTTACTTTCATTTCCTGAAGTTTTTCCACATATACATGTTTTGGTTGGTCCTCTCCATCTTCATAAAGCCAGTTTTCTGTATCCTCTAACATTAATGTTATCTTTCTTGAATCCTAGGGGGAAAACAGTACAACATACAACAGTAGCCCACCAATCTTTATAATTTTAAATTAGTGAACAAAGCAGCTCCATGATAATATATTTCACTACTTATACTGATATATAGTAATAAAATTATAACCAAGGCATCTACTGTAACCAATTCTGATTTCTACCCAGTTCATTAAAAAAAAAAACGAATGAAAGTAACTGGAATGTCAAAAATAGGGCTTCATGCAATTCTCACCAATTATTAAAAAAGTAAACTCAGAAGCAAATTATGTATTTCCTACAAGTAGATAGTATAAATGGAGCTACTTGGTTTCAGTTATTTCAGGAATACCATATTTTAGCTTCAAGTCCTTCCCACATACTTTCTGCATCAAAGCTTATAGTCAATGTTAACAGTTCAGCAAAAGACTGAATTATGAAGCAAGGCATAAAACTAAGTAATTTAAATCTAATGGCTAGTTAGTCAGCAACACAGGTAGGCCATAATTCCACTTAAGATTTTCTCACAGAAGTATCTAACTAGTTTAGCCTACACTTAATTATGGCAGTACATCTTAAATTTAGTACTGTATATTTAAATCTGTATTCAGAATACACTCTAGTGTACTTTACTTGCCGGAGTGTGCAGAAAGTGATTTTAACAAATGTAATACCACTGTTTGTGTTTCTGAAGATACTTACATATTGTAACACACAGAACTATTAGAACATAGAATTTAAAAATAACTGAAATAGACATTAAAACAAGATGGGGGCTTTGGTTGAATGCTTAAATGGGCAGAGACAATTTTAAACTGATAGGATTGAAAATTAAAAGCATACTAATCTATTTTCTGAGGTTTTGGTTTACTGTGTTACTGTAACAATAATAGTAGAGATTAAAAAACAATTTTACTTGTCATGAATTCTTGTTGAGGAAAAAAGTATCTCTCCTTCAGAGCAAAGTTAGTAAGGTCAATTGCTAGTAAGCATCTTCTCAGGAGAGGTCATACTTCTCAGATCATTTGCCACCACTAATTAGAATATACAACTTATGTCCTCATATAATATTGAATATGCCTACCTATAGGTGTATTATGCCTATCTGCCTACACCTACATATATGAGTGTGCTCTGCTTAGAGTAAAAGTTCAGCATTTACTGAGAGAATGAAGACTGTAACCAAGGGAAATCCTGCCCACTGTCTCACCAGTAATTCATGTAGAAGTGAGCTGAATTCAACTATAGTGAGATGGATTACTGTTTTCCTTCTTTCCTTCCCACCTGCTTTTTCTTCTTCTGATTGCTGCTGATGCTCCTACTATTACTACTACTACTACTGTAGAATGGAACATTTCAGTAAGTTATTCTGGCACAATACAATGGAAAAGGTGCTACTAAGGGACAGGCAGGGAAGGATTAATTCTTCTTTCTGGTCTTGTACGCCTGGCATTAAGGAAGGTGATAACCATCCTGAAGGCCTCCTTTATACTTTATTCATTAAAACAGTATCTTTATCCTGATTTTCCTCTTAAATAGTACTTAATGTAGCTCTTTAAGCCCAATGGAGATTCATCCACAGCCTCTGTCTGCCTTGATGTGTCAGTGAGGAGAAAAACTTGAAGGGAGTTAGAAATTTAAAGTAATAAAATGGAGAAATTTAACAACCCTCCATATCCAAAAAGACCTTGAAATTCACAGGCTCTTAGGAACTTATGCCCAACCTATAAAGAAATACAGTAAAGTTTAGGGGAGTTTGAGCTCATTTTTAAAGTAGAGAAGTTGTAATCAGCAGAAGCTCAAATTTATCTTGATTAATTTATCCCACTGAGTTTAAAGGCGTTATTAAAAATATAGCTAAACAAGAACGAAGTCACTGGAATGCTCCTATTACAGATATAGCCATTTTAACGCTAATGTTATTTTGAAGGATTTCATTGTGTTAATCCTTTCATGAGAATTCTTACATCTTCAGTTATGAATTTTTCATAGACACCACAAAGCTTATCTCTCAAATCATACACATATTCTTCAACAGCATTTTTGGCATCATTTTTCTCCTTCTCCAGCTTATCTTGCATCATCATCTTCCCCTGTAAGAAATTCAGATAAGTCAATCACAAATATAAAACATGGTTGATTTTTTGAAACACAGCTATCTATATTCATCCACCCTAAATCACTGGATTTACAATAATTAGAGTTAATTTTTCTTAGTTTTGCACTGAGACAATTGTAATTATTTCACATGCATGGATCCAGATTTCTACCACCGCTTACCTCATTTTCAATGTAGCAATTAATAAGATCCTGTCCAACCTGTCTGTATAAATTAACATGGATAGGTAGATCAATACTCTTGATCTTTGTTTTAGTTTTGCCTGATTGATTTATATCAATCTTGTCTCCTGAAGCAGTCTGTAGGGTAAGAGATTAAATTATGTCACCATTCATAACATTTGTTCCCATTACACATAACATAACAATCTGATGAAAAAAATGTATCTGTATAATTTTAGCAGATAGCTATATCCTAATATGCCGCCATTTTAAATAGCCACTATCCTGCAATTTCTGAATTTCAATTTCTTGTGAATGTTAAAATGTAAGATTTGGAAAGCACAGTGATTCTGTTTTCCAGCATTACTTGAAAATAAACTCCACTCAGAAATGCTTAGAATAGCAGCCAAAGACCTGTTAACACATCAATTTCTTTACGATTTATATATACCAAATATAATCCATCCTAGTTCTAGGTAAACATGAAGCCTTTTAACCTATAGTGAAAATGCCAAGGTGTCAAAGCATTTTAGGCCACTTATGGCGGACTATTCTCAGAATACTATTTTTAAATATTTCTTAGCACCATCAAAAGCAGTCAGCCCTATTCTAAAATTTGAACCTGACTTTATCATAATTTCATACTAACCTTTCCTTCAGTCCCTATATGATCAGCTTCCTCATCTGCTTGACTCTGTTGTTCCATTTGGCTCTTGTGATTACCATCATCTTGATCAATCTGCATTTTAGCCTATAAATAGAAGTTTTAACTCCACACTAAACTTTATAGAAAGGTTTCTTATTCTTGTCAACTATGCAATAGCGTTTCACAATCAAACAAGGTAAGCCACTAAAAATAATTTTAGAATACAAATCAAAACACTGCTACTCAATTTTATTTCTGTTCTTGAGATACCCCATTCCTCTACCTCCATGACTTTTAGAAAAAAAAATATTGAGGTTTTTTTTTTTTTTTGGGTGGGAACAGGTGCGTCTTTGAATCATTCATGACTTCTGGCAACTACAAGTCCATGCGGTTTTCTTGGCAACACTTTTGGAAGTAGTTACTGCCTTCTTCCTAGGGCTGAAAGATTACTCAAGCCCTAATTCCTTTAACATGGTTACTGCAAGGAAGTGTCCATGATTGATAAATAATTATGTCTGTGAAATATTGGAACCCCCTGCCCCAAGTAAATAGACAAAATAACATAACCAACAACAAAGGAAGGTAATAATTAACATCCAATATCTTCCTATACTGCATTGCATTTAATTGTATATATAATACGATTCTAATTACACATTAATTAGATCACAATACTAATTACATATTAAAAGTAAAGTGACCACTTCAAACAAAATATAATTGCATTAATATCAAAGAACACTTTCAAATGGTCTACAAGTAGTGAAGGTTTCCTTTGTCAATTTAAAAGAAGCAGCTGAGAAAAAGAATGTGAAGACTTAAATGAAATCAAGACAGTAAGCAGGACAACAGCAGAAAAACTGAAAATAACCCTAAAAATTAGTACTTTGTTACTATAGGAATCCACAAGCTTGAGACAGAACACCATTTATCCTTTATATATGATGCTTCTGGCATTTAAGTCAGAAAATTATTCTAATATTTTTGAATAGTTTATTTTTTTAATCTATACAGGCACTATTAACATGCTTAATTCCTAGCCAACCTCTGAACTGGAAGCATTTTTTGCTATGATTATAAAGTACCAAATAATTTATATTTTTTTTGAAGGGTTATACAGTATAGAAGATAGCAGAATGATCCCAGAAAAGGCACTGCTGCTTTACAAAGTTGCCAACATGTGCTACATGAGTACTCCTACATGCTTTGAATTTTTTTTTTTGTTTGCTTCAAATCCAAAGCACAAGGTCTTAATATTTAGATATATCACATTAATAACTGTATGAAAGCTTTACTTTTGAAAAGCACAGCTATTACAAAATTCTTACAATCACTCTCTTTATACGCTTTAAAAGAGAAACCAAAATTTAGAGAAAGAATCTTTGCTATCTTTTGCCTACTGAAAACG